TTTTTTTTTTTTTTTTTACTGTTTCTGCAGCAAAACTGACTGCAGTCGGCAGTGGAAGGGAGTCCTAACCAGGGCCAGAGCTGCTTCTCTGGTGGACTGCTAACTCACTGATCCATTAATTATTTACCCCGCACTGCTTCGTAGTGTGACTTGAATCCCATTTTCAAGTGAGAGGCTGGATTCTCCTTTACAATTTTCTTTTCTCCATTCTCTACCCCTCTGATTGCCAGTTGCAGGTCACAGATCTGTGAAATTCTTGTCATGAAACTGAGGCCCTGGAGGAACAGCCTGAAAGGGGTCAAACCTGTCAGAAAGGTATCCAAATACCACGGCCCCCATCGTAACACCAATGAAGAAGAAGGTTGCTGTTGCCTGGTTCAGTCCACGGTGCTCACACACGAGGTCCCACTGAAACACAAGGTGAAAATGACACTGAGTGCCCAGTTTGATCTCTGTTGCCTTTTCACACCCTTTCACTGCAGCGGTCAGCCATCGTGTCTTGCAATTTATATCCATCAAATCTGATTGAGGGGTAGAATCCTGCACTAAACCGCACGTGAGACAGAGCTGGAGTACTGAAAAATGTAAAGTTGAATCTTACAGAAGTCACAGTTACCTATGCTACCTATGACAGCCTCCCTGTGAACACTTCATAGAATCATAGAATATGCTGAGTTGGAAGACACCCATCCGGATCATTAAGTCCAGTTCCTGGCCCTCCACAGGACACTGCAAGAATCAAACCGTGGGTCCGAGAGAATTTCTAAACACTTCTTGAACTCAGACAGTCTTGGTGTAGTGAGAACTTCCCTGAGGAGCCTGTTCCAGTGCCCAACCATCCTCTGGGTGAAAACTTTTTCCTGATATCCAACCTGAACCTCCTCTGACTCAGTTTTGTGCCATTTCCTTGAGCCCTGTCACTGGCAGCAAAAGTGAAGAGATCGGTACCTGCCCCTTCGCTTCGCCTTGTGAGGATGTTGAAGACCACAATTTAGGTGTCCCATAAGTCTCCTCTTCTCTGGGCTGAACAAACCAAGTGATATCATCTGCTCCTCATAAATGGCTTTCTCCCTCTCCTCCAGACGCTTCACTATTGTCTTGGCCCTCCTTTGGATGCTCTCTAGTAGCTTAATATTTTTTTTTTTTATTGTGGCGCCCAAAGCTGCACACAGGACTAAGGGTGAGGCTGCCCCAGTGCAGAGTGGAGCAGGAAAATCATATCTTTTGGCCAGCTGGTGATGCTGTACTTAATGTACCCCAGGAGAGAGCTGGATATCAGAAAACTTTCCTGGGTACCAGGCATGGAGAGTTTCCCTTTTTTCTTTTCCTGATCCCTGCAATACTTGCCCAGGTCCATGTCTCCCCCAGATCCCTCTGTCATGTCCCTGAGACTGCCCTGGTGAGATGGGCATTTGTAGGGTGCCCCACTGCAGGGGGGGGCATGTAACATGTTTGTAACACACATGCCTCAGCCTGCATTAGGGAATGTTGTGTTGATAACCCACTTTCTGTTGCTCTGACCAGTTTCCTTTGAAGTTTTCTGTGCAGGGAGAAGGAGGGCAGAGGGGAAGTGAGAACAAAAAATTGCTCTTAACTTTAGCTTATTGTTTTCTTACTGAGGAGTTGGTTCAGACATTCATCCTAATTAAATTAGTGAACATAATTTTACTTTCTTGGAGTTTCATATGTCACTAATCATTACAGAATGCTGTGGCCAAGATGCAGAGTTAGTTTCCTGTATGTGCAAAACTTAATCATCAACCTGGACTCGAAGCCTCTCTGACAAGGCCAGTGAGACCTTGAGCAACCTTTCCTGCTGCAGAAGCAAGAATCCAGAGAAAGCCCTGGCCTCTTGAACAGGTCCTGAGCCCACTGCACAATGGGAGCAGCATCACAAGGCTCCGTGCTGCAGAGCACCTCCTTCTGCCTTTTCCCCAAAACTGCTTTACATCTCTCTCCCTAAAGCACTGCAGAAATGAGGTACAGACCTGGTGCACGTCTGATCCTCACCTGCATGCCTGATGAAAGCAGGAGTGGGTGGGGTAGTGGGGAGGAGGCACCAGCCCTAGGTTAGCACTTTTCCCTGCTCTCACTGAAATGGTCAGCACTATCATTTCCAACACAACTATGCCTCTTTTGCCTGACCAAATTGTTCCTCTCCCTAAGACCACTGTGATTTGGGCCATTTTTCAAGGAAAGTATAGCATTAACACTCAGAGATATCATTGGAAAAGTGTTTCACAAGGTGAGTGGTGATTATTTGATGGGCAGGGACCTTGGGCAAGCTCAAGGTTATGGCTGGCCAGCATTCTGCATTTTACTGGGAGACCCTTGGAGAGCACATCTGATCTGGCAGCAAGAGGTATTGGTGGTAAGAGAAAACAGGCAGCACAACCTTGTGGAGAAGATGAGGAAGGTGAAGATCAGTGAGGAGGGGTTACCAGAGGAATGGAAGTTAAAAAGTGTTTGGAAAACCAGGAAAGGAAGTAATGGGCTCTTATGAAACCCTGACAGGGTACAATCCTGTGCAGTGCCATGAGGTCCACACAGAGAAAATCCTATATCTGTGTCTTCCCCCTGTGCCACTCCTGAATCTCTCAATCACCTGGAGAAATTATGATAACAAGAAGTGCTGGCACCAATCTAAGCAAGATGAGATGTTCACAAAATAATAATTATTAATGTTGTCTTCTCTGATCTTCAGAGAGCTTCCCCCTCCCAGGACATATTCTCCAAACAGTTCACGCCCACTGGTTACAATGCACAGATTCCCTTATGATACTGTGCACCTGGCAAACACCTGTCCATCTGCTCCTCAAAGCACTGATCTAATTTCAGTTTTGGGTGCATCGCAGGCCAGGCATTACCTGGGTGGAGATGGTGGAGGCCAACTGCGAGTGGTCATAGACCCATCCATGCTGGCAGCGCTGGATGATGGATTTGTTTTCTGATTGCAGAGAAGAGTTGAGCAGCAGGTGAAACTGAGGCTGTGAGAACATCTCACAAGAGCTGAAGGTGCCGTCAGGCTCCCGGGGGATACTGATGAGTAGAACTTCCTCCATGGTGAGATTCACAAATGCCTCTTGGTGTGGAATTGCACAGTGATGAGAGGGGGTAGCAGCAATAAAATTGTGCAGCAGAAAATGCATGGGCAGGTTGATTCTTGGGAGGCAAAGGATAACCAAAATCAAAATCTGGAATCTGCCAAAACCCCCAGTTTCATGCAAGAGATCCTCGAATTTCATCATTCCTGCGGAGTTTTCTCACTCAAAGCAGCTATGTACCAAAGAGAAGCAACAAGGGCTTGAAAGGCAGCCTTTGTTCTTGGAGCTCAGCTTCCCACAGCTTTTCATACCACCTCTTCATCGGACTTTGAGACCTTGCTGGGAGGTGTCAAAAGTCACAGTGAAACTCCCCATTTGGGGTATAGCCAAAGAAATTATCCTGTGTGCACACAACAGATCAATTTCAAACTAATTCAGCACAAGGCCCTTCTCTTTTTGAAGTCCTTTCCTCCTGCTGTGGTTTTTGAGAGGGATGCTTACACAAGGAAGGGAGGCTGTGGGAGGAGTGCTGTGAGAGCACTCTCATTTCTGGTGTGAATGTATCATGCAGCATCCCAGGCACTGCAACAAACGCTGCCTACTGTGAGCTGATAACCAGCCAGACCCATTGGACCATAAAACAGGCCTTCAGAAGAGCAGGGGTGACCCACTGTGCTGGGACACCCAGGGGCACCAAGCCTGGTTGCTGAGCATCAGCCAAGTGTGTTTTAGTGTGAGTCAAGATTTGTGTCAAGTCATGACATCTGGAGCAGGGAGCGTGGAGAGGCTTGAGAGGGCACCTGGAAGAGAGATGAGTCTCTGGACGGATGTGAACAGGGGTATGAGCCCTTTAGGGTAAAAGGGAGAGCTGTAGGTGAAGGCTACCTGCTCACCAGTGTCCTCCAAAGAATGGAAAAAATAAAAATGTTTCCCTACAAAGTCCTTTTCTCCACCTGGAGAGGTGTTTCCCCAGGACACAGGCTAGGAACTGATGAGTATGTAGAGAGGCTGCACTTGCCATGTGGGGGCTGTGACATCCTCCTGCAGGGTCCAGCCCTATGCTGGTGTGCTCTGAGGATCCATGTGACAGCCAGAGGAGTGAACGTGCAGCCCCTGACAGGGCCACAGGCACTGCTGTCCCCACTGCATGGGCCTGGTGATGAGATTAGGGCAGTTAAATGCAAAGGAGCAGTGAGAGAAGGGGCTCTGCCTTTATTCTCCCGGGAGTCCCTGTGGGGCCCTTTCCAGTAAGTCCCTTAACACCCTCACCCCACCCAGTGAACCCATGGGCCAGCCCCTGTGGATAACACATCCCAGATGGTTGTGTCCCAAGTTTAGGGGGCAGTGCATCATACAGCAAGCAGGGGCAGGACCCTTTAAAGGCTACAACCCCTTTGCAGGGTGCATGTGAAGAAGAAGCAACAGTGGCGTTGTTGAGAGCTTGCTATAGGTTATTTCCCACTGCGTTTCCACACTCTGTACCTCTCTCCTCGTAGTCTGCACTGTCCCTCATCCACTAAGCCTGCACTCTTGAATGTTGGTGGATACTGATGTGTCATCCCGAACCTTTCTCCAAGCTGTTGCCCCAGGACACGCTCTGCTTTAAAGCAGCTCCAGTCTGGCCATCCACCCAGAAAGCAGGGACATTTGTGTTGGGATGCAGGCACATCAAGAGACTGGCACAGGAAAGTGCAAGTGGTGCTGGCTGCCAGGCACTGCTGAGAGCTGCCAGTCTGCACTGCCCCTGTCCTGCAGCAAAGGGCTGAGAAGAAGGGGCTGGAGAGCAGCAAGTAGAGATAAAGAGATCTAGAAAAGCTTTTTTTAGGGCTCCTGCTGCAGATGGTCATGCTCACAAGGGAAAGGCCACTATGCTGTGGCCTTAGGCGATCTTTCCTCTTTTCAGGAGCATTCCTGTTCACCCATGCTTAAATAATGTACTGCCCCAGCCTTTGCTATGAACCATTTTCGTGCTCATCCTGGGACGAGCATGAAGGAAGACCACAGGAGTGAAACAGGGACACCTGACAGTGACTCCAGGGTTAGAATTTAACTTGAAGTTGAACTAAAGGAAAAATTATTTTTCTTCACCGCTGGTCTTTTAAGAGCAAGGAACAGAAACTCTCATTGATATCCTGCGGCACATTTAAACTGCAAAGCAGCTCTGGCCTCTCCATCAGAAATGAGGGTATGGATCATTGCTCTGCAGCTCCTGGGGCTCTTCTGTTCATACTGCAACTGCCTAAAATGTACATTCCTTTATTTCTTTAATCAAAATGTGTTCATTTAACCAGTCACCAGCTTGAGTTAATCACCAACCTGTGTGCAAATGCTGTGACTGACTATGCCACTTGGTTAAGTAGATGCAGGACCTGACTCTAAGAGCTTGAACGTACGTGGCAGCAGAGAGAGTGGGCAGACTCTTCTGCTGCTGCTTTGGAGTATATTGCTGGAAAAAGAAATTTACTTTTTGCTTCACATCTGTATTCTTTTGCAATAGTTGTTTCTTCTGCTTTTCAGGATGCCAACTACTTATTGAGAGGATGGATTATTAAATTATTAGGTGACTAATTTAGCTTTTCTGTTTCCAGCAGTAATTTCCTAACACCTTCTATGGAGCTGTAATAGCCTGGATAGTGAAAGGAGAGGAGAGGAGAGGATTTGCTCCTTTAGCATTTGCAGCCACTCCACAGCTGTATCAACTTCTGCAGAGTACCTGCAGATCTGATCAGTTCTTGGAGCTTGGTGCTTAAATGATAATTTTATCCTATAGGAAAGATGCAGATCCCAAAATCCTGCCTTCCCTCCAAGTTATGCCATGAACATATGTGGCCATCAGAGCCACTGAGCTAGATTTGCTGTCAGAGGGCAGAAATGTCCCTTTCTAACTGCAGCTGAGTGCAGGCCCTGCAGGAAGATGATGTGACACACACGGGGAGTCTCCATTTTTTCTATTATTTACCAAGGCAGTTTAGACAGGAAGATCCTACAAAGCTGGCAAAGTCAGCAGAGGTTGCCTGCAGTGTCAGTCTAAGGTGCACTGTGCTGCAGCAGAGTGTTCAAATGATCTTGGCAGGATATGTGTGCACCAGATTCTGTAGCTCAGTTGGAGAAAGCAAAGGTGTAGCCAACAGAGAGGTCCTGGGGCTCCTGAAGATCTTTGTTTTGGGTTAGAAGAAAGTGACTTCATGCCATTCTGACTTGGTGCTACATTTGCAGATTCCTCTGCTTTCCATTACTTGCAGCAGCCTGGTGTGCAGACATTTTACTCGACTGCACAAACAAATGAAAATTATTTTGCAAGTAAACTGGTCCTGGCCAAAGCTTGTTTTCTTGTCCATCATAAATGTGAACGCTGATCCTACCTTAGTGTGAAAGGATATCAGCCACTTCCATTTTGACAGATCTCACCTGTGAACTATGCAGCTCAGTGCCTGATTGTGGATCAGTGTTTTTTGGATGCTTAGTCAATTGCTGTGTATGATTAGCTATGGTCAATGTAAAAAAAAAAATAAGGTACCATACTTACCTAACAAAGCCAACTTCCAAAAAATCACATTGATTGGGACAGATTATATTCTTACCCTTCAGGTTTTTTATAATCTGAAATCTCAGAAAAAGCACTAACACTGCATGTTAGACCATGATGCTGATAAAGGTATTTAACCATAAACTCAAATGTTTAAAACAGGTATTTCACTCACAACTGAAATTTTTTTTGCACAGGCAAAAAAATCATCATGTTGAGATGATGACACTGAGGAGCACGAAGATTCACAGACAAAATCCTCAGGAAAAAAAAAAAAAAAGCAGCAGAGGAAATGAGATGGAAACTGAGCAACAAGAGAATGAGCCTGTTTCAGGGAGCCATGGACACTGACACCCACCTGCCAGCAGATTGTGTACCTGCTGTGTGCCTGCGACGTGGCCATGAGTTTATGAATCTTTAGCCAAGTGATGGGTTTGAGCCCCATCCTACCTGTGCCGGGCCCCAAAGGAGAGCTGTCTGCTTGTAAGCTTTGTCTCACCCTGCCTGCACTGTGCCAAATAAAGGTGCCCAAGTGAGAGTGGTAAAAGGGTCTGAACTTAAAAATTTATGAAAACAGTCTTTCACAGCTTCTGTGTTCCCTCTTCAACAACCTCTTCTCAAAGCTAGATAAGAAACTGTACTACATGTGTGGTCTGCACACAATAGACACGAGGTAAATTGCACACAGTTCAAGGACTGTTGTAAGCGCTGTTGTCCTCAGCTGACATGTCAGATTGTCGGGGAGTATTAAAAGTCAAACCATGCCAAGTTACTGGTTTGCTTCTGCTCCACTTCCTGCATAGTAATGTGCAGTTTCAACTGCAGCCCCAGCTGGTTGGTCTCAGCACAGAGAGGGTCAGGGAGATATTGTTATGATCCCACTGGTGCTCAAATTGGGAAAACCATACAAAACGGAAGAGCAAGAGACTAGTCACGTGAAACACTGTCCCTGGCCAGCTCTGGAATTCAGTGAAGATCCCCCAGGCAGGTCCCAGTTGGACTGCACAGACCAGCTAGATGTGGGTCCTGCAAACATCTCCTCAAATTCTACATTTTAAATTTTTATTTCAGTTTGCTTTTGTTAAAAAAGCAGGCTTTGCTCTCTGACAGGTGCTGTTTTGGAACTGGATGGCTGAGCCTGCTGCCTGACGTGTGGTTGTGAACAAGATTCATGGTGCAGGAACATGTCTCGCGTGAATAGCAACAGGCCCCTCTGGTGCATTCCTCCAAGCTGTTCCTCTGACCTTGCCTGCTTGCACGAATCACAAGCCCCAAGAGAAGAGAGAGCCACTACTCCCACTGTGACACAGGGGAAGGCTGCCAGAAAATCACACCGTTCAGAGCTCTTGCAGGCCTGTTTACATGCACGAGGTAGGAGCTGCATCAGTGGTCACAGAGAAAGAGTGGAATGCTCTGGTCCTTGCCAGCCCATGTTTTGGGGTTAGTCACAGCCAATGGAGATGACACGATACAGGAAAAGAAGAACATACCTTGTGAGGAGATTTTATGACAACCTGAGCACAACTCTGCAGGAGGTTTCGGAGAAGGAACAGGGGGCAGAGCTGCCACACAGCTGGAATGAAAGCCAAGCACAACTACAGACAAGGTCCCCTGGCAGCAATTCAGGTGGTATTTCTCTGCTTTACATGTGGCAACACCAATAAATGGGAGAAGACACCAATGAAAAGGTAGACAGGCTTTTAATGGCATGATCGAGAATCCCCTTTTAATAACAAATCTAATGACAACTGTGTCTGGTATGAACAAGAAATGGCATCATCATTTATTTTTCTTTAAGATGTGATCTGAAATTATGACAAATGCCAGGTGGATCTGTACACAGACAGGGCCTCTGTGATGCATGCCAGATTTTATGGCCAAGAAGTTTGCCATGCAGTTGAACCGGATTGTGGTTCCTCAGTCGGAGTCCTACATTCTGTTTGCAGAGTGTAAACATTCTCCAGCTGCTTTCCTAAAGAATGCAATGAAGATATGTAGAGAGATTTAGCCTTGGGACCCAGTCACATTTCCAGGCAGGCAGTACCAAGGAGCAGAAGTCCTGTCTCCAGAGTGTGCCAGAGGCGAAGGAAAATATCGGTGCGCCAGATACAATGTCTAGTGGAGAATCACATGCTATCGTGTTAAAAGGAGATATATAAAATTATCTGTGTTTGCAACTCCAATTCCTGTCTGGAGAAGAAGCAGCCCAGGTCCCAGAGCACGGTAGTGTCGCTGACACTGGTTTTTCGCACACACCATTGAGCCTGGACTCATCCACTAAACCTCCATGTCCTGCAGAGCTCATCCCCCCACCCCCTGCCTCTGCAGGGAATAGTCTCAGAGCCCACACCATGCAGCTTGGCCTCATTTACCCACGTGCTGAGAAAATGACAGCCCCTGCCTCCTCCAGTGACCCCGTGTCAGACCTTCTTGTGCTCTGGGCAGGGGCAATATGAGCAAGGCCAGAGGCAGAGCAGCAACTGATAAGCCCCACGCTGATACCAGTCCAGCAGTACCCTCACCAAAGCAGAGGTCTCACACCTGCAGGCCCCTCTGGTTTAGGAGCTAAGAGCAGGAGGAGTTATTATCTTGGTCCCTGCTAGGAACGCAGTTCTGCACTTGCTTTGGTAGCCCCTTCCTCCTTTCAGCACAGAGGGATTTAAACCTGCTTTCCAGACATTTGCAGCTCCAGAAATAAAAGGGATGTTCCTCCTTATGACCAAGAGCACTGGCCTGCATGGTGCAGGGCATGCTGCATAGGTTGGTGGCCAAGTCTGCCTCAAGCTCTGCAGAATCCAAGAGGGCTTCAATCCCCCAAGCAGAGAGGGGCTGACCTGCAGGGAGTATACAGTGACTTTGAAGACAAAATTTACTAGAGGAGACACATTAGGAATGAAGGGACAGGAGAGTGATGGTGTATGAATCACTGTCATTTCATGGGATTTTGGCTGTACTTGGGATCATAGCTCACCTCGGGCTGGCAACAATAGATACTCTCTGGCCTCACAAAGATACCAACGCCAAAGCTCACAGGGAAGTCTTGTTGGCTCTGCTGTCACTGTCAGTGTAGTCCCAGCCCCTTGGAGTGCAGCAACAGGCTAACAAAGAGCACAACAACCATTCGGGGTTCTGCAGAGGACCTCGGGAGCCAGCACAGAGTGAGCCCAGTTACAAGCAGGCATCCCAAGAGGAAAGGGCCTGAACAGGAGCCCAAGCTCTCTCCCTGTTGTGGAGCTGTAGGAGCAGCTGGAAAACAGATAGAACCAAAGGTTCTAACTCCCAGGTGGTCCCCGGGTGCTTTGTCAAACCAGCCCAGCACTGCCGGAGCACTGCCATGTTTCAGTTAAGCCAGAGGAAACTCATTTGATACCAGACTCCTCATGTCCACAATGGGACTTTCACTGTGTTCACAAGATTAATTTAACTGTGATTGATGTGTAGGGCAAGGCCTTAGGTGAGCATCAGTGTCTACACATGTAGAATAGTGGTGGGATCATGCCATGGGTCAGTAAACTATACAGAGAAGAAAGAAGTGCACTAAGGGACCATTGAGCTGCTACTGGAGCAGGATCTACACTGAGGAAACACCTCTGTGTTGGAAAGGAGAAACATGAAAGATTCTCTTGCACCAATACAACTTGCATTCAATCGAAACATTTCACCACCCAACTCCCAATGCTTGTGTTAGTCAAGGGCAGCAGTGACACTCCAGATCCTGATCCATGCCCCGCAGAGATGTATGTCAGTCCAGAGCTGATGCAGGTCACATGGCACGTATGACAGCTGCCAACCCCCCAAGCTGGGGGGTTTTGGCCCTAGTTCGTGCTCAGGCAAGTGGAGCCTCACACGCACTTTGGTAGGGTGGTACCCTGTTCCTCCACCCACATTCACTGCACTCAGCAGTCAGTCCTGCACACATTAGAAGTCGCAGTATCAGAAGACTTCTCCGAAAATAGCAGGATCCTTTTTAACCTTTAGCTGCTATATATAATGGTCACTAGTTATATTATATTGTTATAATAACATATATATTATAATATTCTTTATTTAGAAAGTCTCCTGCCTCTCACAGATTCCAAGCACAACTGACTCAGAGACATCTGTTACCAAAACACCTTTTGCCCGAAGGCAAGCAGAAGCGTTTTTATGTTGCCAGCCAGACAAATCAGTTAAGCAGCTCCATCCATTCGTGTGTTTGAGCCTCTCCACGGTATTAGTCTGAGTGGTGGCATTGGTCCTTTTTCTTCTTCTGCTCACATAATCGGTTGTCACACTGGCTTAGTGCTGAGAACTCAGATTTACCACTTGGCACATCCCCCCTGTATCCCTGTTTCTTTGCAATCAGCTCCTGACCAGACAGCAGCCACTGACTCCTTTTACCAGCCAGTGTGCCACCTTCTCTGGGCTGGCAGATAAAAACTCCACAAAGTGAAGACTCAGCATGACACCAGGCAGTCCCGAAGATACTTACAGCCCCAACACATACAGGACCCCATAAAGCTCCGCTGAACTAGACCTGTCTGTTCCTGTTGCCCACGCCAACACACACACAGATGTAGGCACAGTGGTAGCTTGTCCCAGGAGTTCCCTCAAAACACACATGGGCACAATTACCTGCAGCTGGCCAGGACAAACCCTGAAGCAAAGACACTGATGAGGAACCGTGTAGTGTGAGGCCGTTCCTAGAAATTCCCACAAACAGGGGAAAATTCTGGGAAACCTGCTTCTCTTTCCCTGATCCCACACATATTTTTTTATTCTTCCTAGACATTTCCTCTGCTCTGGTCAGCTCTGTCTTCTCTTCAATCTTCTCTCCTCTGCAGTGCAGCAAGGACACAGCCACACACCGACAGCAGTATTTGAGAAACCCCATGCGTCCTCGAGGCTTGACAGAGTTCACACAGGACTCATAGCAGAGAACAGCAGGGTCTTGCCTCCCCCACCTTTCTGGGATGTGATAGCCCATCCTGTTCTCTGAGGCCAGACTAGATCATCTGGCATTCCTCCACCACTTCTCCCTAACATCACAGCTTCATCCCTTCTTGTCCCCAGACATGATCTCCTGTGTTTGCCCCAACTATGGCAGGTGCTCTTTCAACTTCCCTGCAGGGCAGTGGAAGAAGAGAGGAGCTAGAGGAGCTGTTAACCCTTTTAGAGGACTGTTTTCCCTGTAACACTGGCAGAGAGTAACCCTGCTGACCCACCTGCCAGAAAATGCCTCTAGAGAGACAAACGAGGACTGTGAACTCCTGCAACCAGGGTGTGCTGCTCCCCAGTGATGGGAGTACCCTGGGGTACCACCCCAGAAGACACAGCCTGGGCACACCACGCTTTTGATGCACTCTCCTGCTCTGCTCCATGTCAAAGACAGCTGGGAAGCAGGAATGTGCTGGGGCAGGGAGTCTGGTAGCACGACCACAAGGAGAGATGACTAATCCCAGATCTCTGTGGGTTTGGCTGCACCCTCAGCCCAGCCCTGTCAAACAGCACTGGGAACGGGTGTTATTTTTTGTGCTGCTGATCCTTCTCTGGCTTTTTGAAAACTGTGGGACCTGTCTCATGGCTCTCCAGCATATGACAGCTTTGGCACAAGTACTGGTGGAATCAGGAATCTACTGCACCACAAAGAGATGCTACCTTGCTGTCACCAGCATCTTGCCTCCTACTTGTGGCTGGGTCATGGTAGAAAGACCTCTTAGAATAAAGCTCAGTTTCTTAGAAACCTTTTAGTAAGAAAAAGTCCCCACATTCCTGTAAAAGATTTCACTGGAGGATTGCTTCACAACTAAAAGTTTGCCTGATTTCTTCCTCTGCTGTTCTCAGCTGTTCCCTCTTTCATGTGCCAGATGGAAGATCATAGAACCCTGGAATGGTTTGGGTTGGAAAAGACCGTAAAATCACTGCTTCCAACCCCACGCCCATGGGCAGAGACACCTGCTACAAGAGCAGGCTACTCAGGTCCCTGTCCAACCTGGCCTTGTCTCTGCCCTGGAGCTTTCTTCCTGACTGGTATAGGTGGGCCACCAAAAACTCTCCTTTAAACTTTCCCTTGAACAAATACTTTGATTGTGCTTTATTGGCTTCCCATGATGAGGCAGGTTTGCTAACCCTGTTAATAGTCCTGTAGTCCTCTTTACAAGCTCTTACGGTGTCATTTTTGGCATGTGCATCTAAGACCTGGATGGAGATCTAGTAAAGGCTTCATGACAAAGTCTTACCATCTGAACACACTAAAATTAATAGCCCTCTGATAAATTAATAGGAGTCCCACTATGATTTATGTTTCTGGGAAGAATCTGTGTTTGTGTTTACTCTGTTTTCTAGTTTCTAAACCTGCAGGACATATTTAGGTTCTATTCTGACCCACACTTCAAACTCATATGATATTATAGTGCCACTGGAAGTGGTCACACTCTCTGTCCTCTCCTTCTCTTGTTTTGTGACCAAATGGTGAACCTGAGTCCCTCTGAGTCCCCAGTGCTGCTCTGCAAAGATGAGGGCATCTTTTTGGAGAGGAAACTCTGCTGTTTACCTGACTAGGGTGAACCATATCATTGGAAAACACTTTGAACTTGGTGAAATAAATTCTTAGCATTGGCAACACTGAGACTGCCATATAAAGAGGCAATTTCTGTCTCCTGTTTCTAGGCATTCCCCTGTTTGGGCATCCAAGGAGCACCCTTTTCTCCCAGCTACCCTGTCACAGCTCTTATGCTCCTTTCCAGGACAGTTCCTGGAATATCCTGTAGATACGAACAACTTTGGGACTTCTTGGACTCAATAGCCATCAGTGTGACTGCTTGCATCCACGTTCAAATGAATCAAGGTTATTACTGTCCAGATTCCTTTCGTCAAGCTTTGTTGTCTGCAAATAGTAAATATTTGCAGGTAGTTGCAGCTGCAAGAACAGGTGTACAGAGCAGCTGTGTATTTCTTCTGCCTCATGCAAAGCCTCCTTTAGGCATGACAGTGGTGTGAAGCCCAAAGTATTTGGATCTGGACTATTTTCTCCTGTGAGGTGTGGGGAAAATTTAGCCTATTTCAAGGTCTCTTCAAATGCGGCCAGTTCCTCCTCACTTCTATTTTCAAGCCTTCCTAATTAATCTGGGGGTCAAAAAGTTGGATGATTTAGTTCTAGCTGAGCGCTAAGCTTCTGCTCTGAAAATACTATTTGAAGAGCACAGCCCTTGCTTTTATGTTCACACTGTTAGTTCTGACGCAACATGTGGCAGAGTTGAGCACCAAGAAAAAGACAGAAACCTGACCTCTGCCACTCAACCCACCATACTCTTGGATAGAAATGCACAGGTTATCCACAGCGTGCCAGCAAACCTCTCCTCGCAAAGCAGCATCTTTTGGGTATACTACAGGATAATAATTTCCACCCTGCCACGTAAGGGAACTTTCAACCACAGTGCCAAAATTTACAAACACCAAGAGCGTGACAATAAAACACAAGAAATTTAGGTGCAAGGGGCACCAAAGCTAAAGGCATCCAGTGACTATTCACATCTTCACTTTGGAGCTGTGTTTGGTGGACTACAGGTCTGTGGCACCAACCACACTCAGGGTCAGAGGGACCACCCTTGTTGGGAGATGTGGTGTCCACAGATCACGGTTTGGTATTTGAGACAGAAGTGGCTGCAGTGTGCTCCCTTCTACGTTAATTAGCAAGACCTTTTGATTTCCCAGCAAGCTGCCAATACATCCCTACTTGCACCTGAGTACCCACCACACAGGTGTCTGCTGAAACAGCAGCAGTGTCAGCCGAGCGGCAGTGCCAGACGGCATCCTCTGTGGGACATACTGGAGCAGGCAGCAGCATCCAGCAAGAACTGCCTGTCTCCCAATGCCCACCTGTAGAGGGATCTCTGGAAAGAAGAGCCCCCTCCACCTTGCCACTTCTCTCAGCACACAAGGACACATCCCTCCCTCTTGGCTAAGCTGGTGGCAATCCCCTGCTAACAGAGGTGGCAGGAGGTGAGCCAACATTCAGGTAGATGGCAGCAGCCAAGGCTGGTGTTTTCCCAGCAGGGAGAAAGGAGGGAGCTGCCTGAAGGACAGGAGCCTTCCTCTTTAGCAGGCCTTGCTCTCATCTCCTCTGCTCCTCTTTCCACAGCTGGGGGCGGTGTTGGAGACTGGTATTGCTAACAGAGAGAGGGGAATCCCTGGGCAGGGAGGAGGGCCAGGCACTGGGCAGGCTGCCTGGGGTCACTGTTTGGTGCTGTGCGCTAGCAAGCGTGAGCTGCGGGCTGGATGTCTCCCTTGAAGAAGGCTCCGTGGCTCAGAGGCTGTCAGGCCCGTGGGAGCTGATTGTGGTGTGGGGTGAGAGTGTGAGTGAAGCATTGAAGTACAGCTACCGCTATACACTCGTGGGTCCAGCATGGAAGGCTGTGCTGCAGCATCTCAAGTGTATACTATATGCAGAAGTTACCCAGTGTGTTGGGCTCGCAGAAGAAGATCATTATCTGGCAGCTGCCTTACTTTCCAGGGACACCTGCTTTCCTTTGGTTGCTGGACTCTGAGTCTGGGTTTTTCCTCTTTGTCGTTTTTTGGCCGTGCCAGGAGATGGCAGGGAATCTCCTGTTGGCCCCTGAGCCTGAGCTGAGGGCTGAGGTCGGGGGGAAGGAGGAACTCGCTGAGGAGCAGTCCCTGGCTTATGCTGTCGGCAGGGAGAAGGACTTTCCCTCCGAGGTGGCAGCTGGCTTCTGGGGGAAGTACTGGGGTTCCTTGAAGGAAGAACAGGGCTCCGAGGGGATGCACCACTGGACCTCCGTGAGCTGCTCCGTGGAGGAAGAGAAGTAGAACTTGGTGAAGAAGGAAGCCGGCTTTGTACCTGCGTTGTTCGGCACTCACTTGGGACACTTCCAGCTGGTCTCTGTGTCTGGAGCCTGCATGGGAAGAAAAGAGGGAAGATGAAGGGGAGTTTCCACAAGGGGCACTGGGGTCCTAGTAGGATTGACATTGAATGGAGCTGGGCAAGTACAAGGAGTCTCCAGTACTAGGATGGCAGCAACTAGCCACGTACCAGATGGAGTCCTGGTTTGAACACCATCCTGTAATTCTCAGTGCAGTTAACTTGTGTTTGCCCTCATCCTCCACCACCCTCTGGATCAACACACAGGCATGGCTGGACTGATAGCATGTATCTGAGACTCTTCTTTATGTGCAGAATGGATGCAGCAACCCCTTCCAAGTCAGGAGATACAATTTGGGAATGAGGGCAATGGATTGCACCAGTTGGCCTCTGATGGTAACTGTGATGGAAGATAAACCAACTGAGGCAATCACAACTGTCAGCCTTGTCACCCTTGCCACCTCTAATAGCAATAGCCAGGCCAGGTCTCCTTGCAGAATCATGGCTGTGCTTAGCATGGTCCAAAAGTTGGAGCTCAACATTGGGGGCATCTGCTATTAGCAGGATCAGACCAAGTGAAAGAGGTCGTGGAAGGAAAGACAGGGCAAGTGACAAGAGGCTTCAAAAAAAGAAGACAGAGAGGTGAAAATTTCACACACTGCTGAGCTGAAATGACATTAGGAAGCAAGGATGGACCACGTATTCAAGCTGAGTGAAGGGTGAAGTCATGGGAGGTGAGCAGAGCCATGGCTGAGTCTCCTCAAAAAGCCCAACACTTCGCATTTCTCACCATTTTGGTCTTACCTGCAGACAGCAGCTGCATCCTGCAAGGAGTTGCACAGCCCTGCAATTGCGACAGCCACGGAGAGCTCCGACCTTGCTGCCTCCAGAGGTGTTTTCACTGGCGTGATGGGACGAGGAATTCTGCTCTTTGTGCTTATGGATCTCTCTTCTTTCCCCAGGAGTGCCGACTTCTTCCCTCCCTTCCTCGGGATGGAATCATCAGAGTCGTGGGTGTCCTCCTCAGACCCAGTGGCTGACAGGGTTTCTGAGGCTCGCCGCCTCTCGTCGCTGGAGGAGGCTGAGGAGGAGGCCCCAGAGGCCAGCCGGATGAGGCGGTTCTGCCTCTTCTCCATCACCAGGCGAGCCAAGTCAGGTTGCTTTGCCCTCTTATAAAGCCTTTCTTTGGCTGAGAGTGAAGTTGAAAGATCTGAGCCGGTGTCCTCCTCGGAGAACAAAATGGGTATCCGACTTCTATACCTGGAGCCCAGCAGTCTCCTGGGGCCCTGCTGTGGTGTGTCACGGAGGGTCTCTTCTCGCTTAAAGTGTCCTGCCGCTGATGCTGACTTCTCAAGGCCAGTCTCCCTTGTAACCACCTTGCCAGGCTCTTCCAAATCCAGCGAGAGCACTGCTTTGCCGGAGGGCTTCTGCTTGTCCTCAGGAGGCTTTGCTATGCCATTGGGAAGGGCCAGCTGCTCCCCCACAGTCTCTGAGTTGGTTTCAATGTGATTAGCTGAAAGTGCACAGCTCTCAGTCTCTGCCCCTTCCAGCCCCGAATGTATGCTTCCATTCTCTACCAGCACCAGGTTGTCCTCCAGCTCTTCTTCAATAATAACTTCCTCAAACTGTCCCGGAGGGCAGTACTCCTCATGCCGCATCAGCTGGCTGCTGGAAGACATGACGTTTAGGTGGGTCTTTTCAGCAATGTGAACAAATGTGCGCTCAACTTTGGTAAAGGGGGAGGAAGCTGTAGCCACTGCCACGGGAGGCTTTGGTTCAGATTTAAGGACTGAGGACAGGGTCCCCGGCTCAGACACATCCAGTTGGCTACCCATAGGCTGAGGCCGCTCGCTCTGAGGTGTCAGTGCAGCAAGAGTGCCCAGATCAACCTCTGGAGCTAAGTCTGTGGCCACAGGAGACTTTTTGAGATCACCGGGTGAAAACAGCACTAGTGTTTTTGAGCCTTCCTCCAGCTCCACGTCCCCATCAGCAGTGGATGCACGACCCTTCGATCCCTTCTGGTCATCAGCCAGGAGTGTGGATGGTGCACACTCCTGGCTGTGCTCTGTGCTTTTCTGACTCAAGTCACTGCTGGAACCACTGTGCATGTCAATCTCATTGCTTCCCTCCTCCCCTTCATCTTCCTCCTCCTCCTCCTCCTCATAGTCTTCCTCATCTTCTTCTTCCTCCTCTTTTCCATTTATTTCCAGATAAGGTTCCAGAGGTTTGCAAGGAGCAGTCAAGACAATATTTGAAAAATCAACTTTCTTTATCCGCTGGGATACCTTAGGCTTTTCCCAGTAGTCTGACATATCTTTTCTGAAGTCTTGATAAGGCAAACTTAAAGGGACCACCTTGGGCAGGCCATTCATTTCAAACGACTTCAGCATATATGCCTGCAAGAAGACAGATGTGACAAAAGAGTTAGTGTTCAGACACAGCATTGACACAGAAGACATCAGGATAAACAGCAATGGGAAGAATCTGTGGAAAGTATTTAGTCCATCATTCTTCCAAAATACATGCCTGAGCAGTGGTCACTCCATCATTCGATTCATACAAACCTTAAAAAGCAGAGATTCACAGATACTTACCAATGAGGGCAAAAAAATGTGCCAGAGAAGTCCATTTGTTAGTGGTCTTTAATCTGGACCTAAAAGAACTGTTTTCAAGCAATTCTCGGGATTTTTTTACATTTCCCAATCTTCTTCAATATTTCTACATTTATTTCAGTACTTACATATTTTTCTTTACTGGAACCACTCAGCGACTCTCTTTTATGCCCAAGGCCAAGAGGCACTTCTGGGCTAGAAAAATTTCCTTATCACTTTCCTCTGCCATCCACCATTGTCCCTGGGGCAGTAACCCTTGTGTTCTGCTACTGCACTATCAATCCCCCCTTCTGCTCCTACAACCCTCCAGCAACTCCTCCTTCTGTCTTCTGCAGGCTTCTGTGCTCACTAAAATCATCAGCAAGTCATGAAAGCTGGCACATAAAGTGTCATTATCAGACTCTGGCGTGTCCAACCATGAGAAGCGAAGGGTGGACAGGACAGGTGGTGGGGGCAGTGTTTCTCCAGTCTGTGGCAGAGAGACTGCCTGTAAGGTGCCAGGAACAGGCTGTGAAGTGATTGCAAATGATACTACAGAAAAACAGCAGCTCACACACACATGCACACACTTGACTAAACAAGGCCAAAGGATAAAATAAACAGGAAATGCCCACTGAAGCTTGGCCTAATTAACAATTGGTTGGATGGATTTAAAAACAAATAATTTAGATTATGCTTCTATTAGGGCTGGAAAACCGTAACCTCTCCACAAACTCAACCAGTCAATAATGCATTACACGTTACCCTTGAAAAGATTTAATCACGAACAGAAGGACTCCAAACATCTGCATTTTCAAGTGGCATTTGACAGCGTCAGAGGATATTTAGGATACACAAGCCTAAACAAGGACCCACTTAACTATGTGAACTCCAGAGCTGCCAACAGCTCCCACTTTCACCTGGCTATGGGAACAGATCTTTTTGTCTCCGGGGAGAAGAAAATGCCCCTCATGGCTTTTCAGTCCAATGGCACATTTAAATTGTGCTGCAAATCTGCATGTTATTCTGTGCTGAGCAACTCTCTATTATTATGCCTGAAAAATGTGAGATTTTAATGCTCATGTACAACAGGAACATTTCAAATAGACTGGTGGGTAGCATCAAGATGTTCTGCATGGTGTTAAGCTGTTATCCAATTATTATTTCTTTTTATATCTTATAAATTAAAACACAGGCTGGTTTTGGCAATATCTCTGGAGTCCAAAGCTGCCTCTCTTCTTCTATTAAAGCTGAAGCCTAATTAGCCTAATTTGGGCTTTCACTGACTAGTCTACCTTCTCTATCAGGGTGACAGATGTGGAACTTGGACTGGTAAAAGGCACTTACCACACTTTGCAAAGGAAATTACCGACTTGGCTTCTTCCCTCAGCCATTTCTTGGAAATTAGTCCATTAAATAGCCTAAGATTGGATTCTGTCTATTGGCTGGGTTTGATTTTCCCAAGAAATATATCCTGAACAAACAGACGTACTCCCCCAGTGGGACTGGGTCCTGACCTGACCTTGCCTTGTGCTGAGCTTCCCACTGGAATGAGTTTCACAACCCCAACAACAGTTCCTCTGCTGCTCTACGTCACCCCATTTTCTAGATGCTGTTTTGGTGATGCAGATGGACGATTGCTGCTTTCTCTCTGCATATTGAATTATGCTCCTACCTAGACTTTCAAATCTCCTCCCAGCCCTTAGCTTGTGTCATCTCATCTGCTTTGCAGTCAAGGTGAACAAAATGCAGTCCTGCAATGCACATCCTATATAGGCCAGAGATATGGTTTCTGTGCCCTGCAGTCTTGTCCCACCACCAGCTCTGTCTCCAGCAGCCCCTCTTTCCTCAGTAGCTCTTTCCCTTGCAAGACGTGAGAAGGTTTTCTGAGATGAGATTGCACTAAGCAATAAGATATGACATGGAGCTGGACAGCAGGATGTTGCTGTAAGAAAAAATAATGGCTCTTTATTTCTTGTTCTTTAGTGTCCCTTTGCTGTTACTGAGTCATGCTGTAGATACCTTTCTAACCTCCGTGTACTTCCACTTCTACAAATTCCTTGCAGTATTTAGCAAATGGACTGCCTTTCTATCTGTCATTTCAATTTCTCCTTGTATTTTCTATTTTCCCTGCATGGACACTGAACCCTAAGCACAACAGTGACTGCTTGGTTTCTACCTACCTTTGGGAGACTTGGACTGCTTCACCTGTTGCATGCAGTACCCCAAAACTGCCAGAATGAATTCCTTAAGAGAGCCTGAGAGAGTGTCTGCTATGCCACTCTGAATGCACTATGGAGAAAATCCAAAGAGCATAAATATCCAACTAAAAGAAACTTTGTTGAACCAGCTCTTGGGTCAAGTAGTATTATAACACAAGTTTTCTTATCTTCACTACTATCATCACCTGAAACTGTTAAGAAGGGAGACTGTCCTAGGGCATCAAAGTCTGACACTGTCTCCACTGTTGAGTTAATGTGATCAGCAGCCTGCTGCAAGTGGTCACTCTGCTGAACAAGGTGTTCCCAGTTTGAACACCTCACTAGAGACACTTGGGTCCTGTCTTCACAGTTATTATGTGTCTTTTGTAGTAAAGCACACTCAACTGCTCTAGGACTATTCCCTAAAGGCCAGAGAAGAACTTTTCTGCTATGCTGTTCTGATGGGGAGAACTGAGGGAAGATGTCAGAAGATCAGGAGTGGAGAGGCTTAGTCTGTATCTTAAAACTGTAGAATAAAAAATGTATAAGGAATCTCTGGAGGTCTCTGCTCCAATTACCCCTCAAAGCAGGACCAACTTAGACCTGGCTGTGACGGGCCACATCCAGCAGAGTTTTGAGTATCTCCTGGCATTTGAGGCTCTTCATGGTTACAAGGGTGGGGGTTTTAATATCTTAATTCCTATATCTAACTTTTCTTTAATTCAACTTGTGTCCATTACATCTCAACCTTTCATGCACACCCCTAAGAAGAATCTGGCATCTCCCTTCATCAGGCAGTTCAAGGGTTACAGTGTGTGGAGCTCACAGTTGGCAATCGCACAGTTGAGAGGCTCCGAGTGAGAACCAGGGGGCAAACAAATGTCATCATGGGAGCCTGCTATAGACCTCCCAGCCAGGACGATGATGACAACAAATTATTCTTTGAGGAATTAAGGGACACTTAATCAACTGTCCTTGTCCTTATGAGGGACTTGAATTTGACAGAAATTAATTGAGAGCACCACACAGCTGGTACAACCTGGGCCAGAAGATTCCTAAAAACCTGGATGACAACTTCGTGGAACAGGTTCTGAGGGAGCCAACTTGGAAAGGTGCCCTCCTTGATCTGCTGCTTGTCAACAGATCTCTCGAGTGAAGTGGAGATTGGCGGCTGCCTTGGCCACAGTGACCACAAAGTGATCAAGTTTAAAATCTCTGTCAACAGCAGGGAAAGTGCCAGCAAACTCCAGGTCCCAGCTGACTGGAAGCTGGCAGACATTGTCCTGATTTTCAAGAAGGGCGAAAAGGAGGACCCCGGAAACTACAGGCCTGTCAGTCTCACTTCAGTGCCTGGTAAAGTTATGGAGAAGATTATTCTGGGAAAAACACCTGAAAGACAGTGCAGTCACTGGTCAGAGCCAGCACAGCCTCACGAGAGGAAAGTTCTGCTTATCAAACCTGATTTCCTTCCATGACAATGTAACCCACCTAGTTGAAGCCAGTGAACAGAATCTTTTCGGATTTTAGTAAAGCTTTTGATCCTGTCTCTTACAGGATCCTTCTGGACAAAATGTCCAGCCCACAGCTGGATAAACACATCATGTGGTGGGTGAGCAATTGGCTCATGGATCGAGCACAGTGAGTAACAGTGACTGGGGTGACATCAGACTGGTGACCTGTCACTGGTGGGGTTTCACAGGGATCCATCTTGGCCCTTTACTCTTAAACATCTTCATAAATTACTTGGATGCAGGACTGGAAGGAGCACTATGCAAGTCTGCAGATGACACAAAACTGGGAGGAGCTGTTGACTCCCTTGAAGGCAGGGAGGCCTTGCAGAGAGACCTGGGCAAATGGGTAATTACCAACCATATGAAGTTCAACAACAGCAAGTGCCAGATTTTTCACTTGGGATGGGGCAACCCCAGATGTACATACAGACTGGGGAATGAGAGGCTGGAAAGCAGCGTTGTGGAAAGGGACCTGGGGGTCCTGGTTGACAGCAAGTTGAACATGAGTCAACAGTGCCCTGGCAGCCAGGAGGGCCAACCGTGTCTTGGGGGGCATCAGGCAAAGCATCACCAGCCGGGTGAGGGTGCTCTGCGTGGGGGTGGCCTCACCTTGAATATTGTGTGCAGTTTTGGTCACTGCAATATAAGAAAGATATTAAGCTATGAGAGAGTGTCCAAAGGAGGGCAATGAAGATGGTGAAGGGCCTTGAGTGGAAGCCGTAGGAGGAACACCTGAGGTCACTTGTTCTGTTCAGCCTGGAGGAGACTGAGTGGAGACCTCATTGCAGTTACAATTTCCTTGTCAGAAGAAGAGGAGGGGCAAGCACTGATCTTTTCTCTATGGTGACCAGTGACAGGACTCGTGACCAGTGACAGCTAAAGTTGTGTAAGGAGAAGTTTAGGTTGGATATTAGGAAAAAGTTCTTCACCCAGAGGGTGGTTTGGTGCTGGAAAAGGCACCCCAGGGAAGTGGTCACAGCACCAAGCCCGACAGAGTTCAAGAAGATACTCTCAGGCATAAGGTGTGACTCTTGGGGATGGTTCTGTGCAGGGCTAAGGATTGGACTCAATGATCCTTGTGGGTCCCTTCCAA